GCTACAAATTTGACTAACTGAAATTAAATTTGTAAATGTCTCAGCTCTTTTTTTAAATATATGCTGTGTGATAACGTTGCTTGATTTTGTTGTTGATTGTCTGTGTTCACCTAAATGTCCCCTCTTTCGGGGACAATAAAGATTGATTAATTTTTAAAGGTGTGTGTGTGTGTGTGTGTGTGTGTGTGTGTACTGCATGTGTGTGAGAGATGGTGCAAGAGAACATATGAACCAATGTTTACATTTGTGTAACCTGAATATGCACTGGATTAACATGCATGTACAGTAAGAGCACAACATGCCTAGTTGACTTAACCCCAGGGCTTTCTGGAGAATTGTCAGAGAATTTCCATTTGTAAGCCCCTGGGCACGGCACAGTGGAGGGGGACCAATTTGAACAGTTTAGATGCACTTAGTGTTTGGAAAATGTTTCTCTGCCTCAGGGCTGAGAAACATCTTTTCAAATATTTTTAAACACATTTGTAGAAATTCAACAAACAGCACGGGTGCACAATATTTTACAGATAAAGTTTACACAAGCTGTTATCTGCCATTTCAGCCAAATAGTGGTGGACAAACATCATTCAATCCTAGGACCAAAAACAAGTTACTCCGAATTACTTCTGACTCTGGTACAGCGGCTCTCAATGCATATGTACATGGCCTTATGTAAGGCAGCAGTGGGCAAGTAACCAATATAAGGCTGAGAGCAGTATTAGACAGTGCTCAGTTAAATCAGCAAAGACACACAATAAATGTTCACTGCCTCGCCTGGAGGCTGTGTTGAAAGTTTCCTCTGTGGCGGTCAGTGTTTGATCTTGGGTTGCTACAAATACCAGAGACGCTCCATCAGTGGCCAGGAACTCTGCTGTGCTTGTTATCAAACCACCCAACATCAGAGCAGAGCCACACAGTCTTCTCTGTCCTTGGATCGAACACACGCTTACTGAAGGACAAAGCTTCCAGTGTTCATAAAAATTGCATCAATAGGGCGGGTATCAAGTATCACAGTGCTCAGTCTGTGCAGTCATATACAGTATATGTACTAAACTATATGTACTGCTAAATATACAGTGGCAAAAAGAAAGTGTCAGCACTGTGGAATTGGCCATTTCTGCAACCACACACTTCAAACATGCACCACGATTTGCACACAGTAGCCTCATGAACAGACATGTTAACCAGCTCCAAACCAGCTCCAAAGATTCCTTTCAGCTTTTAGCTATTACTGAGCTTTTTTTTTAACATCATCGATCATTCTGCCTTGTGCCCTTGAAGTCATCTTGGCTGGGTGTCCACTTTTAGGGAGAGTAGCCACAGCACTAAATCATCTCTGCTGACAGTTTGTTCAGCTGTAGAATATTGGAGATAACTTCATAATCCTTTCTAGCTTTATGCAGTTCAACAATTCTTCATTGCAAGCCTTCTGGGATCTCTTTTTGTGAAGCGAATGCTTTTTGTGAATAGCAAACTCAACATGCTGTGTGTTTTTTATGAATCAGAGCAGCCTATAACACACACCTCCATCTTGTATCAGAGACTGGACCCCAGGTTTGCTAACTCCTTTCTCCAATTACACTGATTCTTTTTACAACCTGTTAATAAGCACTATTAACTATGTTAAAAGTTAAAATAGACCGTGTTTGTTCATAATTATTATTAAAGACCTGCCCATATCTCATGGCAAGTTTATTCAGAAATGCAAATAATAGCAAAGGCCTCACTTACTTCTTCTTGACACTAATACAAGTCCAACCGTGACTATGAAAATGAAAGACACAGCTGCATCCTCTGAAGCTTTGCTATTTTTTGCTGGACATAATCACATACTGCTCATGTAAATTATCATACTTACAGTAAAAACGCCAGAGTGGATTTGCAAATCAGGTTTAAAAAGAACTTATCAACAAACAAACAAACACTGACAGCTCAGGGTGCATTTCCCAGATAGACTGCATTACTTACACATATCAAGCAGAAAAGTGTGCTTCTCTCCTTTTCCTACCTGTGTTTCCTGCATCAGAGCTTACTTTATTGTCAACTCATGCATAATCCATTTGCTGCACACCTTATCAAAAACCCCAGACTCAAATAAATCTGACCACATTATTTCCCAAGGCTGAGAACTGTCAGGGAACTTGTTTTTCTTTGCAGAAAATAAAACTCTTGTTCTCCAAGTCTTTTGATGCTCTTTTTAAAACTACTGCTAAAACCTCAATTTATGCACACAAACATGAGTTGAGGACACAAATGGAGCACCAGAGTGTAGAGACAAAGTGCCCACGAGGACGCATCCAAAGAGGATTTCAAACCAGACAAATGAACTTGAGTGGAGCCGGAGGCCAGAGAGGGGCCAGTAACAGTTAAAGATGTGTTGATCTCTAAAGGAGCCGCTGACTAACTCTGAATTCTAAGTAGAGGAAAGTTCTGCTTTTTTTCTTGAGGCACTAAAAGACAAGTTGTGTTGTCTAAGAGGGCCAGATGGGCCTGTGCTCTATTACTAAACTCTGAGCACGCACGCACACACACACACACACACACACACACACACACACACACACACACACCTCCAGGACTCTGAAGATGATCAGCATTCAAAGTCAGCCCTCACTGTTTTCCCTCTCCTCTTTTCCTCCTTTCTCCACTCTACTGATGGTCCCACAGAGACGATGGGAATCGCTGCTGTTTATCTATTTATTCCTCAAGGGGGACAGGGAGGCTCAGTCAGCAGGAGACAGACAGAGAGGTGCTGAACAGAGAGATGCAGGGTTGGATCTTTGCATGGTTAGCAAACACGGAAACCAAATGCCCTCCAGACATTAAGTTCACAGTTTGACTTTCATTCTCCATCAGACTAAGGTAACCTTGCTACAAATGCTTTTAAACTCCATAATTCTGTTGAGCATGAATTTCACCTAAAGGTCTCTAAGCTATGCAAATTTGATGTAACCAATAGAACAATATGAAACCAGTTTTGGAATTAATCACAGCCGATTTTCACTTCTGCAGTGATGGCATAATTTTCAGCATCACAATAAACACAAATTAGGCTAACGAACAATTAGGGAAGCGCATGAGTACAGTAAAACACGTCAGTATCAGTTTACAGCTTGTGTGAGATGTCACATGGATGAAACACGGCATCATATGTAGCGTGAAGAAGCCTCTGAAGAACATTTGTGCTGCTGCACTTAGTGCCCAGACTCTACTGTGATCTGACGAGGCCAAGGAGAAAGGGCAGACCACAGGCCTGTCTCAACACCTTGCTTTGTTCTAGTGCTCAGAAAAAAGCAACTGGACTCTGAGAGCACTTCACTGAGGTGTTTGATGGTGCTTGAGTAAAGAAACCAAGGCAGAAAACAAAGTAAAAAAGATAAGTTGCATGTGAGAATGAGAACAGAAGCTTTCATCATTGTATACCTGACTTTTTCCATCATTACTGATGAGTTGAATGTAATCAACTCAGAAGTCCAGAAGTTTTAAGGATTCCTGAGAGTAATCTTTGGATTCTAAGAAAAGTCAGAATTTAAAGAATGACATCTAAATGCTTCAATCAGAAATCAGTGGTAGGCCCAGATTAACTTTTCAAATATGGCACTAATATTCTCCTGTATAAGCAGCAGCCAAACAGACAGATCTCCATGCTTCCAGATATTTTAGGAAAACTTTGACAGGGAAACAGCAGCAGAGACTGATACAAAAGTTCTCCAACTATGTGATATCACCGATTGATTTTGTAAATCTGAAGTTGCTGATAATTTACACCGTGAAAAAATCCTGCATGTGGTACCTTTAGGAGTCAACCACTTAACTGCAAAACCAGATGTGTTAGAGGCAGTTTTATAGACAACTGGAAAAGCAGACGACACTTTCACCAGCCTCATTAGATTCAAAACCTCTGCTCTGTCCACAGACAGAACAGAAATCATTTGTTTGTCAGAGAAACAAAATGACAGAACACCCAGGGTAACCATCATATTACGACCAATCTTTCTGCATTGTAATCAGTAGGTTCATGTATTTTTTTTCCATGTAACTGAGTCATAAAAAACAAAATAAATCAATAACAGACATGACAGTCAAGTTTTAAGGCATCTGGTAAACATTATTTCCTGAGGGTGTGTGGGAAACCGTGCGATTACGTTCTGCTCTGCTTACTCATATGCAAACACTCAACACATGCACCTGAAACAATGATTAAACAAAACAGTGACAGAGCTAATGCGGCTTTGTTTGTTGTGATACAACTGAGAGAACCATTCTTTGTAGTGTAATAATGACTGGCAGTCAATGGCTTGTTTTCTCAAGGGAGGAAAGGAATAGTTTTTCTGGAGTTTTGTTCAGAGATGCAGAAACCTATGAATCATGTGTATTAATTATTCATAGAAACCCACATGCATGCATTTTAGATATCACTGTTTAAAAATAACAAATCAACATTTTAACAAATCCTCCAAAATAAATAGTATACATCCTTCTCTGACACAAAAGCATGTTATGATCTGAGGAAAACAATCTTTTGAGTCAAAATTTCTGCTTTGTTAAGTTTAAGGGACATTCATCATCGTGATTCCAGTTGTTTAAGATCAGGGAATGAATATCATCTTCAAAGAACCCAACACTGACATAGGTTGAAAACCAAACAAATTAACAGCAGTTCAACATTTTATCATCCATCTTTGTCACTCTATATACAGTAATGTTACACTGCTCTCCCAGTGGACAAGACTTAAAATTCCTACAGCCACTAAAGGGTCTTATCAGTTAAATACAAACAAGTGTGTCATATCTCTTCCTCTTTCTTCGGAACAAGCTCATAGCTCTTCCTCTTTCTCTTTCTGCTAAACCTGTGTAAATATTATACATACACAGTGTCTTTGATATTAAATTAGTCTGCACATCAACTTAGGATACAAAACTACATTTAATGGGATAAAGCAATCCTCAGCTGTGTTCCCAGCCTTAAGTGACCGGATGTAGCCTTTAAACTTGGCACATACCTGCTTGTCCTTGTCCTTAGATTTACAGCTGCCGGACACCCGCGATGAAGTGACATCACGGGGGATGACAGAGATTTGGTGCAGTGGCATATTCATCCCAGCAGAGCCAAGCAGGGACGCTCACACACACACTTCCTGTCCCACTGCCAGAGCAAAGGGCATGATGGTCCAAAACTGCGACACCTCACACACGCCGCCCTGCAGAGGACACACAAAGGACACACTGAGATTAGCTGCAAGGGAAGAAAATCACACTCATCTTATCTATAACAAGCCCTTATATAACTGGATCTGAAGGGCTGAAATGCTCAAAGTCCACAATAAGGAACAAGAAGTCTGAACTGGAATAACTGCATCTGTAATGAACTGTAACGAACTGATCTGTAACTGTTGTTCATGGATAGATTCAGACAGGCAGTCATAAAAGCAGCAGCAGTATGGGGCTGTCCTGGGGAGTTACACAAGAGGTTTTACAAATGGGTCATTTTAACTTCAGTTAATGCAGCCATCTGTACTGCTACTGACAGCAATTAAGCTTTAGCTCCTTCTCGCCACTAAGCTGTGTGCTTTCATACAGCTCAGCAGTATGAAAATGGTAGGATTAAGAAATCAAAAAGCAAACAGGCAGATGGGAGTTATCAGAAACCAGCATAGATAGCGAGGAGCTAGGCAGGGAGCAGAGTGGGCTTAGGACAAAGAATGCCACACGGGTTCACACTTCATCACTGATAAGGTTTATCAAGCTGGAGAGGTACAGTAACTCACAAACAGAGTCAGCAGGCAAATCAGCTTTTCATGCAACAGCTCAAGTCTCAGCTCAGTACCAAAAAACAGGTGAGAGATCTAGTCTTGATAAAGATGCATACACCCGAACTTTCTGAGTTAATTCTAAGCCTAACCCTTAAACCAAGTGTGAACCCTGAAACATCCCAAAATCAGTTTCCTGGAGACTTACCCCAAACTTAAACCAAGTCATCAGTAAAATGTAATGATTTACATTTCTATTGCCCTTTGTTCATTGTTGAGTCCTCACAGTGCGACTGTGTAAACAGATTCACATCCCTACAACATGAGTAACACCAGCCTACACACACACACACACACACACACACACACACACATCCACACACACACCCACCGCCGTCCACATTTTAAAATGTTGTTGCTCCTATGGTTTTTCTTTGTTTTACTTTTATTTAGGGCAGGGGTGGGCGATTCCAGCCCTCCAGGGCGGCTGCCCTGCCTGCTTTCCAACTATTCCTGCCCTACCCACTGCTGATTGCCTGGATCAGTTGTGTCCACTCAACCAGAAGTGATTTACAAACAGCTCCTGGTTGAGGATTCTTTTTCTTTTTTTACACAACAGTAAAAAAAAGTCAAAATAGATGATTATTTTTCTGTCACTCAAGTAATCAGTTAATTGATTCATTATTGCAGCTGTAATAACTGGATAAATGCTTGAACATATCCTTATATTTGCATTAAGTGAGTTCATACAGTAGCAAGGTTAACTCAATATCACAATGTGGAAAATAAGTACGCAGGAGATTTCAATCAAAACTGACATTTCTGTCTTGCACTGCTGATTCATAAGCCAGTAAAACCCAAAGTGTGTTTGCTTGCTGTGAAACACAAAAGGTGTTACACAACAGTGAGCCAGAGGAAAATAAACATTTATATTAGACGGTGTGACGCACGACATACAACTGTGTGTGTAGAGTTCAGGGTGGTTGAGGACTATGTTCTTTAGATGCTGGTGCAAAGTGACTCATCTTTGCAGGTGATGTTAAACCCAAACCTCGATCTCTATTTTACATTTTTTAAAAATTAAGATGTACTGTAGCTGCATGTGCCAGCTTTACCAGCTCTACTCTTACCCAAGTTAGGATGTAAAGTTAAGATGGTCTGTTTGCATCTAGTCACCAATCATTCAGCAGGGTGCGTAGGAAAGCTGCCTCCATCCTCCAGGACCCCACCCACTCCCAGCATGGACTATTCACCTTCCTACCCTCTGGCCGGAGGTTCATAAGTGTAAAATGCAGGACCTCCAGACTGAAAAACTCTTTCTTTCCCTCTGCCATCAGACTCCTAAACAGCTGAGGAGTTTGTTACCAGGAAATACGTCATGTACTGACGACCTGTATTGTTTACATTCTCAGTTTGCACATGCATAATTGCACATTGACTGTTGACTGCTGCACATGCTGCTCCCGTGCAGCACACATTCTCTTATTAGATAATATTTTTATTATATTGCTGCATTTGCTGCTTAAAGTGCCTTAGATTTTGTGTTACTTATTCATCTACTTTATATTTCATTTGTATTTTGTGGCATTCGTGTGGACGGCAAAGTAAGAATTTCATTGTACAAGGAAACACGTTTCCTAACTGTGCATAAGACAAATAAACACTGACTTTGACTTCTTTTGTCAGCACACTGTTCTCCATTCCCGCTGAAGTCAAGTGGACTTGACTTGAATGCCAGAGCAGTAAAGTAATTGAATCCCTTTTGTTAATTTTATCTGCATCATCAGTCATTATGTGACCTTGCTGTGACTACATGAGCTATGGTTGAAGGATGCAGGTCAGTTCTATGTGTGTGAGGGCTAATGAGTTACAGTAAATGAATGTGGGTCAGAGACACAGTCATCACATTTTAGCACCATTAAAGCGCCGCTTATATTTCAGACAAATGTTTGCATCAGTTACAAAGTGGGCGTTCTTGGGTTATTTCCTGAAGTAACTAAATCAAAGATGGTCTGTGTCGTGTAGTTGTGCACTACATTCGCAGAGCTTGTAGTTCATTCAAATGTTTTTGCAGCAGTCAAGTGAACAACCAACAGCATCCATCATTGTGCCCACAACACAGACTGCTGCTGCAACATCCAGCTCATTACTGTACCTCTAACGAATAACAACTGCAGTAAAATCCTGCAGTCTTTTAATTGGCATTGTGTCTTTGCCTTTGTTGGACTGAGAGGTTGCACTAATGGGGTGAGAGATGTCCTGGGTAGACTGTCAGGACTACATGGTCACAACATATAAAAATCATGTATATACAGTAGACTTTCAGATCAGTGCTATGATGTAAATATTTGTAGGATTAATAAATAAGGTACAGCCACATCAAAGGAGTAAATATGATAAGCTCAGATCTGTCAATGAAGCCTTCAGTAAAGCCTTTGGATCTGAGGGCAGGGCTTTTCCAGTGTGTGTGTCCTTTGGGTCAGCTGTCAGTCAGAGTTCACTGCAACAATATTAAAAGCTACAACTCCAGCAGCATGCCAGCACATCACAGGCCTCCCGTGGTTCCCCTCTGACACTGACCTGTTGCCATGGCAGCAGCTCCTGGGGTCAGTTTAAGCCTGGGGACGATAGCGTGGGATAAATGGATGCACCTCTGACTGGTTAGATGAAACTGTGAGTATGGCTTTTTACTAAGTACAACATTAATACTGCAATTCTTTTCTAAGCTCTCAGTAACTACTAGCTATTACTTGTGATTTTCAGGTTGAGTTGCACCATTAAACTAGCTAGTGCTGCTGGAAACATCTGTAGCATTGTCCTTTAAGTATTTATTTATTTATAAATTAATGCATGGCTGGCTCCAAGAGAACTAGGTGTGTTGACAAGATGTTGTTACATTGTCCGTGTGTGTGATGGGACGATAAGAGAGAGACTGAGTAAACAGAAGGTAGATACAAGCAGGTCGTGCACCCATTTTGGAAGAGCATATTTAAATTTCTGGAGAGCAAATGCAGGGAGAAAAGAGGACATCATTATTAAAAAGCTGCTCAGTAAGTTTCAAATCACCTAAGAATTATTTTCTATGGTACAAACAATTTTAATTTAGCCATTCATACCTCCACTTAGTAAACACTTGTGTTAAAATAGGCTTATAAACAGCAGGTGTAACCAGCACCAGGGCAGCTAGGTACATCATTTCTTTTTTAAGAGTTTTAATGTAAGCAGTGGACCATCAAGATCTACTGCGGCTCCTGTTCTCCCACTGAGGTCCGTTTATTTTAAAGAAAGACAATTCAGCCCGTCTCCCCGGCTCTACCCCTCTGTGCTCCTGAGCCAGGTAAATCACAGGCCTGTCTCCTCTACGTTCTGCTTAGCTGAGGTCTGCTGTTATTCTGTTTGCCAAGAGGTCCCTCTGTGTCCCTGCTGTCAGCTCAGGCCTGAGATACGGCTGACAGCCCCTTCTTCCGTTCTGATGTGCAGCCAGACAGAAAAACTTGGCTGTGAATCAATCAAATGTATCACAACTACGTTGTATATACCTAAAAAGGTGTCTCCGCAGGGGATTGGTGGGTTATGCAAGACACCTACAGCATAAATCAGATCAATATATAGGTTTAAAAATATCGGATTAAAGAGCTATATTATGGATTTCCAGTGAGTTAAACCGATGCATTTTGTAGCTTCATTACAAAAGGAGAAACATATTTGGCCACAAATGTTTTGTACAGTGATAATATAGGCTTGTTTGGAATTGTCCGGATACTGAAAAAAGTACTGATGTGACTATGAATTCCAGTTCCTCATTAGACACTTCTCATCATTTTGACTTGTACAGAAATGTATTCAGTGTTCATTTGGCAGGTACAGAGTAATGCTTGAGAACGTAATTTCTAGCTTTGATTGCTGCTCCATCATCTGTTACTTTGTCGCTGAATCTTTTGACAGTATGAGAGGAGGGACTTTACAAATATGCCAGTATGTTGGACTTGTGCCTCTGCTGAAAGATACAAGTCAGGAGGGGGAAGAGGGGCATTCATTTCATCATGGCACAGATGTCATAGCTGTGCTGGCAGCAGTAACTGGACTTTATACCCTGCCAGCACGCACATGCTCACACATTAACAGTGTGGTCGGTAAAACCTGATGGAGTCCTCTGATAAAGCCTGCTGCAGCTCACTTCCTCAAACTAACACGATCAAATTTGGCACTGCAGTTTTTCAGAAGTTTGAATAAATTGTAAAACAAATTTAATCGTAAACCTTAAACTGTTGGATAATATAACCGTCACTTGAAGCTGTATAATTTTATAAGTATGCAAACAAACAAACACACAGGGCCTGTGCCGCGCTGAGCTTATAGACCTGGAACACTTCTTCATACTGAGAATACATTATCATAATTTTTTAGCTCATTGTCATTTAAAATGTAGTTGCATCATTTATCAGCACTAG